TTTACGTGAGTCGTCGCAGAAAGAAAACGTACTGCGCATTTCCCCATTATTGTTCTTTTTTTTCTGGCCGTGCAATTTAAATGTTTGACGGCGCGGTGCAAGAACAGAGGGTCACAGGTGCGGCCGTGTCATGACTGCATGCACTGCACCGGCCGCAACGCGCGGGGGGGGGGGGGGGGGGGGCAGAGGTGCACTCAACCTAGGGGAGCGCGAGAGATAGACGCACGAAATTGACCTTTCATGAAACGAAATAATGAATCGCCACTTGCGGCAATTATGTATCCGCGTCGTTTTGAGGCGGCATGCGGGTCGGGTCAGGCGGCCCTGGCAGCCCTGGGCGCGCCGAACGGCTTGGCCGAACCGCGGCCCGACCGCAGCATGCTTTGCCAGCTTGCCACACGAATGGCGGACAATTTCGGGATACAGTACTAAAGACGCGATGCCGCAGGAGCCTCACTTTCCATTGCGGCCAAGGTGGACCTTCGACACTGAAAGCACGGCGCATGACAACCCTTGGGTCCTGCACTGCGAGGATTTCTTTTAAACAAGCAAAGAAGAACGAAAAACTTAAATTCATCGGAGGTAATATATTTTTAGTTGAGCCAGGGCCACAGTGATGTCCCACGACGTTTCCCGGTGTGCTCCGCTTGCTCGCGACCACGCAACTGGCCCCATAAAATCCTCCCGTGAACGTCGAAACGCGGATTCCAGAAACATTTCCGTGAATGACGCCCCGATACCGGCGGTCCTGGAAGTCCTGGGCCGTGCCTGGGCCGTGCCTGGGCCACCCGGTGCAACGCGCTAAACGGCCCAAGTCGAGCAGGAAACGCGGAGCAGGGCAGGCAGTGCACCAGCGCACCGCAGCGTGTCTCTGTCTCTCTCTGGCGGCAGCCGCAGCCGGGCTAGGGACTCTGGCGTAAGAACCGGTCGAAACCGAGATGGGCTGGCCGAAAGGCTGAACGAGCTGAACCGGGGCAAAATCCTTTTTTCGGTCACCTCCTGGCTCCTGGCTCCAGGGTACGTGCGTCGCGGGGAGGTTGCGAAATGACGCAAGCGAGCAACGTGAGCAAGGCGAGCGCGCCGCGTCATTTTCTGATTCGCTGTTTGTTTTTGCGCGGCCCACGACTACGCCATGCTCGCCGTGCTCGCCATGCTCGACCAGTTCCAGTAATCATATACTAATCCGGTAGTCCTGGCGTCGGCACTGACGTCGGTCCGGCAGCCAAACGAACGACGACTCAGGCCTAAACGGCGAGGGCGCGGTGAGCCCTTGCGCTCTTCCCCCGCGCCCCGCGCCGGTCAAACTCCGACGATGACGGCAATCCCAGCTCAGGGGGATTCCTCGCAGTGTGCTGACTCGCTGGGGCATCTTGCCGTGCGGGACTCCGCCGTGTGCCTCACCTCGTCTCTGCGGAGCGCTCGGTGCGCGGCCTGCGCGGCCTGCTTGACGGCCTCCTTGGCGGGGCTGGGCGTCGTCGGCGTGGTCGTCGGCGTGGTCCTGGGCCTCGGCGTGCGCCGCCCCCGCTCCGAGTCCCCGGAGCTCCAGAAGCCCAGGTCCTCGTCCTCGTCGTCGCCGATGGAGGTGCCCGACGTGCCGCCGCCGTCGCTGCCCACGTCGGCCTCCTCGTCGGGCCGCTCCGGGACGATGTACAGGCGGATGCGGTACATGGCGGCGCCGCGGACGTCAGCGACCAGGTCCACCTCACAGGCCGGCCATGCTGCGTGCTGCGCGCTGCGCGTACCAACCCCGTGTCAATGCCTCAGTGCTTGTGCTTGGGGGGTTGAGTTTGCCAGTTTAGTCGTTTGTCTGCCCGCCAGTCCCAGTGTAATCCAAGCATGCTTGCTGCAGGTGGCAGCAAGACCTTTATGCCGGGCCGTCGCGCCCTGCTACGCCCTGCTCGCGGCTTACAAGAGATTGGCGATAACCTCGGGCCACGCCGCGCCACGCCACCTCGCAAAGCCCTGGAAGACTGACGGGCCGACCCAACCGGCCGTCATAATCATTTCGCTGTTGCGCCTAATCACCCTAGCATTGGCAACGCGTGGAAGCGGAAGCCCTGCGAAAGCCCTGAGAAAGCCCTGAGAAAGCCCTGCGGAAGCCCTGCGGAAGCCCTGCGAAAGCCCTACGCAATCCCTGTGGGAGCCCTGCGAAAACCCTTCGAAAGCCCAGCGAAAGCCCTGCGAAAGCCCTACGGAAGCCCTGAGAAAGCTGCCCAGCATGCAGATGGGCTGGGCGGGGCGCGAGGTGGACCTGCTCACCGCGAGAAGTAAGCAACGCGTGGCGTTGCGGGGCGGGGCGGGGCGTGTGGGAATCAGAATCTGCTGCCATTACTCATCCCCGTGCGGTTCCGAGCACAGTGCACTCCCAATCGCTACACCGACAAAAAAAAAAATAAAGAGAAGAAAAAAAAGGCAGATGGAAAAACATATCTGAACGTGCAATGAATCACGGCGCGAGTCATTTTTCAACGCGGTGTTATAAACACCCTTACAACACCTACTGCAAAGAGAACGCGAACGAGCAAGCGGTTGAACGAAAACTTTGAAAGATTGCCGTCATCATCGTCCCCAGCGCGAACTTCTCGTTTTCCAATGCGAACAGAATGCAGTCTCGAGGAGTGCACAGTGTGGCTGCACTCGTTGAAAAGTCTCCCCCACGTCCGAAGTATGAAAAGGGCATTCTGGGAACCTTTGCGGCAAAGAGTTAACAATTTCTGGCATTCGTCTGATTCGAACCCCCCAAGGCACAAGCAAGGAATCCGAAGCACCACGACTCAAAATCCCGGCAAGGAAGGAGGGTAAACACAAGTCGTGTCTAAGACAAGCCGGCCTCTGACCGAACCGGTCCGGAGCATTTTACCTCCGAAATTTTCCGACCCTCCTCGCCGGGATCTCCCTCTCTCTGGTGAAAAATAAACCAGCGAGTCTATCAAAATTACACGCACATTTCACTTAGTTCTTTTCAATCACTGCTCCAAGCGAGAGGGAGAAGTGTAGTTCAGCAACAACCCTTCTTCTGGAGTAAACACGCGGTCACACACACACACGCGCGCGCACGCACAAGCACACACAGCCGCGCGCGCGGTCCGGCGGGTCCGGCGCGAGGTGGAGCTCGCGTGGTCCGCGGTGCAGCTCGCCGCTCGCTGCGCGGTGCAGGGCGATCGGAAGGCGGCGCCGTGCTTTCGCCGCGGACGTCGGGGCGGCACTGTGAGGGAAGAGGGACTGGACTGGCTGAGGCGGGCTGAGGTACCCCACCGAGGTGAGGGACTCGCGGACTGACTGCCCTGGGCCTGCAGGCCTCCCGGAGCGGCTCTGGAGTCTCTGGAGACTCCAGGCGGGGAGGGGCGGCGCGCCAGCGGCCTGGACTCAACGCCTGGACTCCAGCCAGGCCGGCGGCGGGCCCAGGGCAGGCAACACGGCACACGGCCCCTCCCCGAAAAAATATGGAGGAAATGAAAATCACTGGTCACCGGGCATCGGAGCGTGTCGTGGGTGTCCCAGATGACGTTCGTCGTTCTCTCCGGCGACCAGTGGTACTGTAGTGACCAGTCCTTGCGACACTGCTTTTTCTCGAAAGTGCACGCAGAGTCGCTCTGGAGACACTACCCCACCGATGTTGCACGGCGGATTCGGCGCAGCGGACCGTGCCCCATATCGGTTTAAGAAGCACCCCAGCGGGGTTCCACGATAGCGGTGATCGCTTCGAAGGGGTTAACGACTTTGATATTTTGGGTCCGAACGAAGAGCGGCTGGTGCGACGCCGTCACGACAAAACAAGCTGAGGGGGTTCAGCAATTGTGTAGTATTCGTGACATACAGTGTACAGCCGTGTACAGCACAGTGCAAGGAGAAGAAAACATGGCAGGCTAGAGAAAGGACTTGGAAATTTCGGGCTGGACCTCTGAGAGTAATCAGGTGCAGAGTTTCCATCTCCTGACTATCTCACTGAAAGGGGGGAAAATGGACAAGAAAAAGGGGGGGCGGTACTGTGTCGCTGAGGTTCATGCTTGTTCCAGAGTGACAATTCACTAGCTTGTCAGTGGGGAAAAAGCATGAAAAAAGTTAGTGAGTGCTGCGAGCGCAAATGTACGGTGGGCAGGGACGCCATCATGTGTGCCCTCCCTTCTTCGGCCCCGCCCCTTCGCATTGCGACAAGCACGCAGACAATAACACCCCCCCCCCTCCTTTCCAAATTAACCGTGCTTAACATAAGAACAGGTGCACGACGTGCAGGTGCTTGCCGACGCTCCCATCAATGCTTTGCTGCTGAAGACAACACCGCTCACTTCATCTCGAAACCAATAGGCGTAAAGTGCCCGACAGAAAACCGCGAAACTGCAGTTTGGCAGGTGGCGCCTTAAGGCGCCCTTAACCTATGTTTTCCGCCCGGCGTTAGCAACGTGAGCTCCCCGTCCGGAAATGCCACGACATTCAAATGAATGTCTTTCATTACTCCTTGGCACGAAAGTCAAACTTAAATAAGGTGAACAAAGGTTTGTGGCTCACCCTGACTGGCTGGACAGTCCTTCGCTCCCGGGGCCTAAGTCGCAAGCTTAAGTCCCCGATGGTTTTGCCCACTTTATCCTTGCTAAATATCTTGGACAAGGATTTACGCGCCAAACTAGAGGCCTTTCTCGGTGCCATACTGCTGGCGGATGAATTTGGGGCGTCGAAATATTGCTCGAACGGTTGCGACGAGTAGCGGCACTCGGTTTCCGTTGAGTACTACGGGTACCTTTCACTCACTCCTCCAAGTTTTCAAACCTGAAACCAAACATGGCTCCACCAGGGACGCCACAACACGAGAACCAAACTTTTCCCTCAGTTTCGCGTTCTTTCGCTGGCTTTGGGCTTCGCGCCGCTTCACTGAACATTAATGTCATTTTTTTTTTAAAAAAAATAGCTATGTTTGTATTGGTGGATTTTCGCATATGCATCTTTTATTTCTGATAGAGGTGATTGAAGTTGGTATGATCGTTTTCGATAGGTCGAGTGTGGTATCGAGCATCGCATCGAGCTTGAAAAGCATGGTGGAACTTGCAGCAGTAGACACTATGATAGACCTGTTTTATTGAAATTTATTGATATTAGAACCTTACCGCTTTGGTCTTCTATCATAATGAATTCCATTACTTGTGCGTCGAAGACTTACAGGTGCTCTTATTCATATTCAATTGCGCGACATGTCCAAATTTTAAAATAGCGACATTGGTTCTAACCTGCCGCTTATAAACAACAGTATTTTTGGGTGTTTAATTTGTTACCATTTGGTTGTTCATGTCTGTTTCAATCCTCTCAGTTTAGCATTCAGAGCTATTTTTATCTGTGACTTAACCCCTCGTAAGTCAGTTTTATCATTATTATTCTTAATTTTGACTTTCAGGTCATCAAACTTGCAGTATTTTCAGCTGTGGTGGTCCAAGTATTCATCCACTGCTGCTCCATCAAAAGAAACCATTAAAATCCCAAACAGAAAACATCGAGGCCCAACTGATATTTTAAAAGTAATGTCTCCAGAATACGTTTGTTTCTTTAAACTTGTGGCACGTTCTGTCTACAGTAACTATTTTGTTTGCAGGCCCTTGAGACAACGGTTTCATATGACTTCACAGGCCCGGCCTACAAGTTTTTTGATGATCCTTTTCTTGCACCATACAATGACAGACAGGCTAGAATGTATTCACTAGCTAAAAGTGCTGGTCAAAAGGCAGGAACGTGGGTCAGAGATCAGCATCCAGAGCTTTTCACTCAAGTCATTTCGGACCCTCCTGTGATGGTGAGTATTGCTGACAATGTCAGTTGATTCTAAATTGTGGAGCAGCAATCAATTCATTGCCGAACCTCCTCTCCTTACTTTACAGTCATACATGCCTTCTCCACCAATTAATGGAGACAATGCAAATGAAGAAATGCTTCTCCAAAAAATACATGATTCAAAAGTTTCAGATGCTATTAAGGTGTATGAGCTCATGCAAGAGAAGAAAATGGGTATGTAGTTTTAGGGCTGTTTCTCAAGATAACATCTAATAATCTTTAGACAGTAATCATATGACAACCACACCTAACAGATATAAGGCAGGAAACTCAGCTTGCTTTGCTGGAATTGCTTTGCTTCTATAACTGTGAAGATGACACACCCATGGAAAATTCTGCTGAACGTTATTATGGACACACCTCACGTCAAGGAGACCCAACAATCAACCACTGGAAGTGAGAAAACTTACTTGATCTGGTCACATTTTCACACTTGCAGCTATGATTTCTAATTGACTTTGATCAAACTTTTTTTTTTGAAAACCAGAAACCACCCCCTTGTGGATAGCTTATTTTCTTCACTGAAGTCTTTGGGATCTGCACCATATTGCGCATTAATTTGTGGCCTATACATGTATGGTGCCAAAGTCGAAGGAGATAAACTTGTAGAAGAAGCTAAGGAAAAGAAAATTAAGTTAGACATTAATGCATATAACTTTATAATCAAGAGAACTATTTCTATTTATGATAAAGTTGATGTAAAGTGGCAGCTGGTCCAGGTAGGCACATTTTCACCATATGCTCTCTCCCAGAACTGGCAAATTTATAGCAATTTAATAATAATTGTCTTATCTTTCATAGAATATTTTGAAAGAAATAAATGCAGCTGGATTAAAGCCAAACCTAGGAACTCTTTGTTATTCTATTGATGCGGTGAGTCGCATGGGAATGCCTCAAAGGTATCAAATATTGCTTCAACTGGTGGCTGAGTTCAAAAAGGCAGGTGTTACTCCCTCTATTGGAGTGTATGGAATGATTGCTCGTGGTCTTGTGGGGCGGACTAGACCAGATGGTAAGCTATGAAACATATTCTAGCAAGTTTATGTGCACTGTTGTTTTTGATTGTTGACAAATTGTGTTTATTACAGCTAACTTGGCAGTATTTCTGCCATCAATCCTGGAGTCCTTAAAAGGAAAAGAATTAGTGGCAGAACATCCATCTGATTTACTGTTCTTTGATTGGATTCTAAAGTGCTGTGCAGTAATGGAAGACTTGCCAAGTGCAATCAATGGTTTGGAATTGTTTTTACATTCCAGAAATAGAGAGCTCCTTGATGGTTATAGGTCAACAAGTTTCTTGTAAGTATGCTTAAGATTTATTGCTCTGTTCGGTCCAATCTTATTTTCTTAAAAAAAAAAAAGTGTTCAAATGTTAACATTATTTTGCAGCAACAATTTCTTCCATGTTCTAAGCAAAAAGGCAGACTTTCCAACTTTGATAAAATACTATAATTTATTAGTTCCACATGCACACACTCCAAGTCCTTTATTCTATCAGGTAAAGTTAAATAAAAGCACATTTTGGATTTGGAGAAGTTCTATAACTTATTACCTTTTTACAGGTCCTTTTTGATGCTTGTGATGTACATGCTGAGATCAAAAGTTTCCCTACTTATTGGAACCATTACATGTCATCAGGGTCATTTAATGAAGAAACTCTTTTGAAAATGCTGGAAGTGGCTGTGAACTTAACTGGTTTGCCTGACCCTGAAGCTATTGAAATGAGAAAAGTTGTCTCAGAATCAGCAGTTAATCTTTTTCTTTTCAAAATGGAAAAGGAGAAAGATAATGTTTTTGTGTCAATCCCGTAAGTTATTTGTAAAGCTTGACTTCAGTCTTACAAAAAACATGAAGATAAATTAATTTTAATTTTCTTATTCTGCTTTTTGTTTCTGCTTTTGTTTCTTTTGAATTAGTCTTACACATGAGATGTGTGATTATCTTCTGCATCTATTTGCGAGGGGATGCCAATGGCGTACCATCCAAACATGCCTGAAGTTTATGCATGAAAAAGACTTCATTCCAGATGAGAAAGCAGTGTCAGAAATTTTGGACAGTTGTTATGACCATGCAAATCCAAACATGGCAGTTGTAAGTCATCTATTTAATCTTATATTTTTATTATTAAAGGTGTTTTGTGCCAATAAACTAAATAATTATTCTTTAATTCAGAGCATCGGAGACTAATTTCTGTTTTTGCTTCTAGTGGGTGCTTAAATTCTGCAATAAATCATTTAGCGGCATGGAGTCATTTGGAAGAAAGTTGGAACTGCGTGAAGTAGCCTCCAAGATAATGAAAGCAGATTTCCTGAACGATGATCTTAAAAAAGAACTCCAAAGCGAGTTTGAGGATAGCAGCAGCAGTAGTGACAGCAGCACCAGTGACAGTGAATCGAGTGATTCTGATGATTTCAGTGATTCAGAGCAGGACATATCTGTTCCAAGGAAACCTAAGCCTGATGTTGTCAAGCCGGATATTAAAAAAATAGTCGAAAAATAAAGGTAATTCGTTTTTATTGGTTTGATTTCTAATAAAATGAAACATACTCAACTAATTTTATCTCTGCCATTTAATCTACAACTGATTTCTATAACCAGTATTACATTCAACTACATATATTCCGATCCAATATTATTTTTAAAGTATAAATACAGTTTGCCAATGATACCTTGTATTCCCCTTAGTTAATTAACATGCAATGAGGGTACAAAAAAGCAATAAATACTTCAGGGTTCTTCCTAATTTTATATAAGGTTTTACTAATCTACAAAGTGTAGTCAAATTTAGGCATTTCTAAAGGAGCCAGTGGGGGCAGCTCTCTAGTATCTGCTGCATCTGGACTTAATTGGCTAACTGGTGAAAGGACAAAAGGTGAAAAGTTTCCACCAGTAGAATCAGTGATAACTTGAAGACCAACAGGTTCATTAGAAATATGAGCTTGATTGCTTTTCACAAGTTCACTTTCAAGTTCGGTTATTCGTATGCGTAAAGCCTTGTTCTCCCGCTCACTTTCATCAAGTTGTGTCATTAGAGCATTTATGAGGTCTCGAAGCTGATTGTTTAAAGTATGCAGCTCTTCAATAACTACACGATCTTCCTTAGGATGTTTACTTCCCAGAGGATTAAGTGCTGGCGTTGAGTCTTGGTCAGAGGTCTCTTGATTTGTACCATCGACAGTGTCTTCACTGGCAGCTCCTCCAAGGAGTTCAATAAGCAAGGAATCAGCCTCTTGCATTGTTCTGTAAGTGGATCACACAACATTAAATATTGTTAATGGCTTACAACTTTAAAATTTGCTGTGTTGCTTGGCCATTGTTAAGCCCACTTCAGTAAACATAGATGAAATTCACAAACCTGTAAATTGCTGTTTGGAGGTTTTTAGGCTCCTGACCTTTATGATCTCCAATCAGCATCTTTTCTCTCAAATGCGCCATTATTTTTCTTTTGTTTTCTAATGCCTTTTTCAGCAAACCAAGCTGAGTTTTCTTAAGTCTACAATCAGATAAAAAGCATTTGTGATGAAAAAGAACCAAAAATTTTTAATACTTCAGAGGAGCATTGAGGTTTAGAGATGCTGGTCCTTTTATTCCATCTTCCTATTTAGAGTACTGCTCAATTAAAATGTCCAGCCTCCTCCTGCTTCATAATTCAACTACTTTCAGCTCATAGGTATACACCCTGTACATAATGTGACAAAACCTACTCAAATAAAGAATTAAAATCAAAAAGCTTTCTACTACTTACTCAACGATTTCCAGCTGTCTTACGTGGAATTCTTTCTGCAATACTAGAGACTCGAGGGCTCGTGGCGAAGAAGTTACTTTCATAGCATCCTCAATATACTTAGCAGCTAGCTGGTGACATTTGACAGCTTCGTTAAACCTTCCGCCCTTCAAGTGCTGTTGCGCACGTCTATCTTCTCGATGAGCCTGAAACACAATCATGGATTGCTCATCAACGCAAGCAGCTGGGACAGAAATTCTTTGAAGCCTCAACAGAACTGATCTGCATGAGTGTCAAATTGGAGTACACCCAAGGCAATAAAACCAGGTTATGTTATTAAAACTGTCAGGACATCAACTGACTTGATTTAGGGGAGACTCCTCCATTCCGCTACATATTAGAAACAGGACGGAGCGGCTGGCCTTCCGTAGGTTCAAAGCGAGGCCTGCAAACGTGCAGCTTTGCGCTGTCAATGGGCACGACACCGAAGGAATAGGAAACCCAAGACAAGAAGAAAAAACACAAAGCAGAAAAGACACAAAGATAAACACTCAGTGCATATAGAGGGGCAACCTGTTATTCGCAGTGAAAGCGCTAGCCTCGCGTCAGCCGTCCTCAGTCATCCCCCCCCCCTCTCTCCTCTCCCCACCTGCCCCCTCCCTTTTCCCGTCACCAAGAGCGGGAAGCAAGGTCACGATTCAAAACTTGGTCCATCTCGTGTCTCACGCGACTTCACACGTTTCACGCCACTGGTCCAACTATCAGACATCAGATGGCCACTCAGGCCGCGTGCTGCGTGCACCTCCTCTGTCGGGCTTTACTTAAAAGCTCAGGTGGCGTTCGTCCCTACTGTGTGCGGCTGGGTGTATTTTCCCCGCATTTTGTTCGCAGGAAGAGTCCCCGTACGTAGTTTGACCCAAGTTATAACAACTGCTTTTTATTTTATTTTCCATTTGGGAACTGCGGGCGCTTGCGAACTGCGGGCGTTTGGCAACGCAGACGACGAACTGGAGAGGGAAGGTTGGCCAGGTTGGCCAGGCCGAAGCCAGCCAAACCGGATTGCCAGTCGAAGGAGGTACAGTACACTGTACGAGGTGCAGGGAGGTGCGGGGCACTGTACTGTACTGTATAGTCTTGGGGCATAAGGTAGGAGTGGTTTGCACCAAGGTAGTCATTAAAATAGACTTCATAATTTTCTTTAAAAAATAAACATTTAAATATCATTTTTGTAACGCGATTGACAACATTAGGTTCTAGAAAACTAGAAAAAAAAAAACAGAACTGTATTTACACTAAGCCTTGATATAAAAATGTGTCCTGCACAAGCCGCTCTCTTGCCAATGGAGTGAGAAATGTCAAAAGCGGACAGAAGACACGAAGGCGAGTGATGTTTGAGCCTCTTAAGCTAAAAAGGGCATTCATCCCTTTTGCCTCACACACGCACGCATACACACGCACAAACACACACATACACATACACTCACATAAACGCACAAAAACACTTCATACATACACATGAAAATTGACTTTCAACGAGGGTTTGGACCGGACCCTCAACAATAAACCAGATCCTGCCCTAAAAATTGGAATTTGGAATCAGTCATTGAGCACTTGAATCAGTCGACGACGGTGAGCTTGCTGGCCTCGGGGACCGCCAACTCCGCGTCCTCGGCCTTGGCGGTGGACCCGTTGGTCTCCTTGACGTTCTTCACGGGTTCGTGGTGGCCGAGACGCTCGGCATCTCTCCGCCGGTACTTCTTGGGCACGCAGGCGATGCAGACAAGCCCCGCCACCAGGAGCGAGCACTGCACCATGTGCGCCACGTCGGGACTAGCCACCTCGAACAGTTGGCTGTACATCAGCTTCACCAGCAGCGCGGTGGGCTGGAGAAACACAGAATTTACGGTTAAAAATCTTCCGCGAGAGGCAACTTTTGTACAATAAGCACGCCGGTGAACATCTCACCTGAATGAGCCAGTTGATGATGGCGGTGGGGTTGCCCTCTGGCTCGGGGTAAGTCAGTTCTACAGCCAGGGCTAGTCCAGGTACGTAGAAGCAGGGCATGAAGAAGCTGCAGAACATGACAACAGTTTAGCAGGGCAAAGGCAGACTACCGGGAGATTTTCATTAAAATTGCCCACTCCTTCGCTCTTACCCCAGTATAGACGCGGAGACGTAAACGGTCACGATGGTGCCCTGGCTGACGGACACCGAGTAGGCCGCCGCGCTGAGCAGTGCGCAGACGTAGATGAACACCGACCACTCCCTGCGAAGTAGGAACACGTTGCAAAAGAACTACCCAGGGAAGTACCAAGAGAGTATGGGTGGGCCAGTGCCTAACTCACTTGTAGAGCCTCGTCTTGTCCACCAGCATGCCGATGATGACGATGCCCACTATCCCCAGCAGCGTCATGATCATCCCGATCCAGCTAGTGTGCTTCGCGCCGACATCCTGAGCATCACCAAGAACGTTATTCTCGCCGCAGAGGAACGGAGGGGGGAAAAATAGCTGCAGAGTCTGACGGCCTGGCTCACCCCGAAGAAGTGCACGACGGTCCTGTTCATGAGCACGCTGTAGGCGATGAGGGTGGAGGAGAACAGGGCGCAGGCGAAGAGGAGCAGCAGGAAGTGAGGGTCGCGGCCGATGCGCCGCAGCGACCTGAAGAAGGCCGTGGCGTTGTTGGCGGTCTCGCTGGCCGGCGAGGCCCTCACGGCCTGGGAGGGCGACGGCGGCAGCGGCGGCTTGTCCTGGAACACTGGAGGCGTCGGCGACCGCTTAGTTCCAGCGCACCGTGACTAGGCCGCGTGAGGCTAGGTGGGCTAGGCGTGGGTCTCTTGCCCTATTCTCCGACCAAACTAGCTGTGAGTTCTCGCGGTCGAGGGCCCCTGGAGGCCTAGGCCTAGGCGGCAGTAGGCATTAGCCCTCGACTGCGAGGACTCACAGCTAGTTTGGTCGGAGCGTGGTCCTTTTGTACTTTATGGAACTGGAGCGTGCACGCGCATGCTCTGGCCGGCTTGGCGGGCTTGGCGGGCTAGGCGGTATCTAATCGTGGCAGGCCGCGGCCCGGTCGGCGTCGGCGCGTCCGCGGGGCTCCGCGCCCTGCCCTGGCCGCCCTGGCCGCGCGGGTCGGGTCACCCTTCCCTTCGCTTGGGAGCGGGCCGGCCGCGGCGCGGCGGCGCCCAGGGTAAACATAGGCAGCGATTCGGATCACGGCGTTATCGGCACCGCGACGAAAACGCCTCGACAGTCCGTCAGTCCGACAGCTGCAAGCAAGCCCAAAACAAGCTGGACTTTATCGCTCCCGGTCCCCGTTCTGTTTGAGGGCTGCATCGGCTGCGTCAGCCACTTAGCTGGGGAAACGACCTCCGAGGGGCTCCCGCGAGGCTGCGGCATGCGGCGCTTCAGTGTGCCTACAGTGTACGAAACCTTGCAAACATTTTCCGAAGGAAAGTCGAAGGGAACACGATACGCTACCGAAGTACACCGCGGCGAGGAGCGCGGTGCCGACCACGGCCAGGCCGATGTTGGTGGTGAGCAGGCTGTAGTAGTTCTCGTCGGCGGACTGGTCAGCGCTCACGGACAGCGGGGCCATGGCGCACCCGATGGCGATGCCGAGCTGCAACACAAATCAGTCAGCATAAAGCCCCAAAGGGACCCCCGTCGGACTGATATCGACATCGGCCACCCCCACGACTCACCATGATGACGAGGTACGCGGCGCCCACCGCGCTGGCCACCTGGTGCGGCGGGAACCACACGGCCGCCATCCGCGGCGGCGCCGAGGACACCACGAACAGGGTGGCGACGGAGACGAGCCCCTGCCCCGCCAGCGACAGCCAGTAGCCGTCCTGGCCGCAGCCCAGGGTCTTCAGCCACAGCCCCGCCGCGGTGCCCGCTGCGCCCACCAGCACGCTCACGCGCAGCCCCTGCGACGACGAGAAGAACATGAGCAAGTCCAGCCAACTGCAGCCACCTGGCACGGGGAGGGCGCGGGACGACGAGGGGGAGGGAGGGGCCCCGCAGGAGCTGCACTTACATACTTGTCAAGCACCCAGGCGGCGGGGAAGATGAAGAGGGTGGCGGTGGCGGACGACACCATGGTCATCCACTCCATGTCGTCCTTGCTGACGCTGAAGTACTTGGACAGCACGTTGCCGACCACGGTGTACTGCATGTAGGGCACCGAGTTGAGGCAGATGACGGCGATGTACAGGCCCAGCATGCCCCATCGTCGCCGGTACACTCGGATCACCGAGCCAGAGGTGGGCGTCGACGCGTCCTTGAGCGCCGTCGCCTCCGGGACGCGCGGCTGCTGGCTCTCCACGCTGCAAAGAAGCGGTTCGCGTCAAGGAAAGTGTCAGGCAAGTCAGGCACGGCGCCAACGAGGGTCTCGTGCACCTCGCGGACGCGGCGCGGCTGCGCGGCAGGCGTGACGTCGCGGCGCGTCACCCTGCACTGCATCATTAGTGCAGACGGCCTTGGGCGACTCACTGACTCGCTCACTCGCTACCCAGTGCCCGCCGCCGCCGCCCGCTAATTGCTAATTCGAACACAAATGGAATTGGGCTACTACCGATTTCATTTGGCGGCTGGCGGTGGCGTCGGCGGCGCGCGCGAAGTCGAGTGTACCGCGCACGTTCCTACGTACGCCGCCAGCCCGTTGGTCGGTTGCGTCGGAAACTTCCGAAACAAATTTCTGAGCGTGAGTGCGTGCCTCCGTTTTCCATTTTTCCCGCGAATGGTAGTAAAGGGGTTTCCATACATGGTGGGCGGGTTGGGTACGCGTTGGCGCGCGTGGCCTTGACCGCCACCGCCCGGGAGCTGCATGCCGGCGGCGGGCTGGCGCGGCTTGCCTTGCCTATCAATGCTGGGCAGCCGGGCACAAACAGCTGCCCGCGGTGCGCGCATGGCGGAGTCCTACAAGCTGGCGCTGGTCTAGCTGCAGCGCCTTGTCGGACGTCAGGGTGGGCAGACGGGCTGGCCGCGGGCCTGCAGGATGGCAGGCAGGCCGCCAGGCTGTGCGAAACTGACGGGTCAATGCAGCATCCGAGGAGCACAGAGGCCGGCGTCGGCTGGCCGTGCCGATGCAGGCTGCTCTCCTCGACGCCCCGCGCGCCGCAGTCGCTACTCGCCACCACGGCCCCCGGATTCCGCGACGTTCCGCGGCGCGTCGTCGCGTCCTTGGCCATCCGCATCCGCGTGCTGCCTGCTCTGCCTGCTTGTCCGGTCATTACCAAGGAGCGAAGTTCAGCGCTCCCCCTCCCCTCCCCCCGTCCAACGCACACATACATCGCGGGCTCGTCATGCCTCTGCCCTCTGTCAGTCCAAAGTTTGCGGCGGGAATCGCATCGGCCGCGCAGCCCGCGCCCGCCGAGAAGCTTTTTGCCCCGAGTGCCGGCGGCCGGCACGACCTCATGGCAGCGGCAGCGCGGCGGTCTGAACAGTCATAGTCATCAGTCAGGATCTGATAGTGTGGCCATCGGAGCGAGGCAGGGCCACGCCGGCCGGCGGGGCGCGGCAGGAGGCTGAGCTTGCAGCAGCAGCTGCTGTATGAAACGGAAAGGCCAAGAATGCGAGGGGAGGGGGTGGGGGGATTACCTGGACTCTCTCGCCGCCCACGCTCGCAATGAAACCGTGGCGGCCGCTCCGCCGCAGCGAGGTGCAGAGAGTGCTGCTGAGGCAGGGCAGTTCGCTAACCCCGAGGAAACGCGTTCGCTCGTGGGGACCCCGAGACCGGGACCGGCGAGACTGGACCGAGAGAACAAGGACAAGAAGAGGCACCCGGCGTGGCGCGGGGCGGGTAGGGACCCGTACGGACCGTCCCCGCCGCCCCGCCCGTCCCGTTGGACGACGGCTCGACGGCTCACAGCGGCAACAATGTGCCGCCAGGAAGGGATTTGAGGAGGAGGGAATGCACGGAAATGCTCGGATTTTTTTTCGACGGCCGTTTAGGCTTGGCCGTGTGTCGGCGCCATGCATGCACATCGATTCATCGATACATCGATACCGCAGAAACCGCGGCCTGCTCCTGGTGCAAACTGGACCCAGCCCCAGGCCCCCTCAGCTCGTCGATTGACCGATTTCTCTTGGAGGGGCGTGCGGCGTTTTGATCCCCCCCCCCCTCCTCCTTGGGGCCCGCGGGCCGTGTCAACACAATGCAATGCGTGGTGTCAATTGGCAGGCGAGTGCGCGAACGTCCCGGCAGCCCGCGGCGCCCCGACTGCTGACGGTCAAGCACCCGCTGGGAATCGAACCCGGGAACCCGCCCCCCTCAGGGCAGGCCTAGGCCAGGCCGGCTGGGCCACTGTGACGTCACACCGCGACGTGACGCCGGTGTGGTGCACGGCCGCGTGTGCCGCGCCTAAATAGATCACGGCCAAAACATGCACCGGGCGGGCGGCTCAAGCGGCTCCTCCCACCATCCTTCCGGCACGCCCGCGCCCGAACCGAAACACGGCGGGCGGGCCGCGTTCGCCGCGGTGCAGGCGGGTGCAGGACGCCGCCATGGCGCCGCCATGGCGCCGCCGTGCTGCAGTTGGAGCTGTTTGAACGCAGCGAGGACGAGGACGAGCGCGGCGCGGGAAGGCCTTGCCGCGCCTCGTGCCTCGCGTCGCGGCGCCGCGGTAGTACGCCACGCCGCGGTTGCTGCGGTGCGGACGGCGGTGTCGCCGTGCCCTGCCGTGCCTAGCCTCGCCGGCCGCGGCGGATCCCTAATTTTAGAGGCGCCAACGTGGGGCGTAGCTGCGCAGCCACGGCGTAGAGCCTGGCGGCCTAGCGAAGCGACCATGCGCCGCCGTTCCGCCGCGCCGGCAGACTGTTCGCTGTCGCTCGACACGGAGCGACGCGGGTGCGGGTAGGCAGCCCGCGCGGCCGCGGCCGCGGCCTCAGGACGCTCTACGCGGCCCTGCTGACACTGACACACTGAAAGCACGTGCGCGCCACAGGTGTCCCGCGCTCGCGTCACCGCGTCACCGCACCATGATGTTCACAGACACGAACGCCAGCTGCCTGCCGTGCCTGCCGCCTTCAGCCTTCAGTCTTCAGGGCAGCAGTCTGACTCAAAGCAGCACGAGCTTACGCTGCGAACGGAGCTCTCGACACTCCAGGTCACTGCTGCTGGACTGCTGGACTCCACGATCCTCACCATTGTGGCTGCTTGCCGAGCCGCTGGAGACTGACGCCGTCCTCATCGCCGCTCATCACATACGCCGTGGAGCCCTGGTCGGCGTGGTCGTGACACTGCACTGCACTGCACTCCGCGAGGACGAACGCGAACTCGAACGCGATGCACTCGTGGTGCCGCTAGAGCCCAGAGCCGCGCAGGCAGACTGGCCGGGCTGCTCTGCTACTGGCTACTGGCTGGGCTGTGGCTGTCTTCTGGTGCCGCCTGGTCGGGCTGGTTGTGTCTGCGGTGCCCCGGCGTTGCCCGGCGTAGCCAGCCAGCCAGCGGAGCCCCGGCGGGGCGCGTGTTGTGGCCGAGGCCGAGCCCGGCGAGGGGTCAGCGGGGCCGGCGGGCGGGGCGGGGCGCGGGCGGGAGGCGCGGTCGCCGGAGCGGAGCGGCTGCCGCTGCGGCTCCGAGGAGGCCGGTAGTGGGGGCAGCTGGGGCAGCGACTCACCGGCCCACGGCCCACGTTCACGTTGCTTTACCTACGTACACTCGCGTACCCTACACCGGCGCGTACTACACTGGGAAGAGCGTCACTACGAGTGCGGGACGAGCGTCAGCCCTCGCCAGCGGGGTGGAAGGGAGCAGGTGGGAGAAAGCTGGCAGGGTGAGCAGCCTTCGGCCCACGCGCACCGCCGCGCTCCCCTGTCACGCCATGCGGCCCGGCCCCGGCACTGGCATTCCCTGAAGGGGTGTCCACCCTGGAGACCTCCCCTCCGGTCCAAACGGTCCGCACTTCGGCAGCCCGACTGCCCGATCCCGATGCTGGCCCTGAAGAGAGATATGCTCAGCTGGGCGTATCTCCGCGGCGCCATCACATGGTCCTCGTGCGCAAACACTGCGTGCCGGTCGTGCCGGGCGGGCGGGGAAGACGAGGGAGGGGAGGGGTCTCTAGGCCTCTAGGAGGCGTGGCTGTTGGAGAGGCGCCAACAGTGTCACTCGGCGAAGCAGCGGCCGCAGCGGCACGGCGACGGCTTTGTCGAGGCGGCCGCGTGGACCCTGAGTCACCGCGTGTGTGTGTGTGTGTGTGCGTGTACACTGACCAGCCAATCGCCAAGGGAGGACAACAGGTGCTTTATGCAAATGCGTTTAATGGCGCTCCGCGGAGGTCCAGGTGGTCCAGTCCCAGTTACTCCTTGCAGCTGATCTTCCAGGGCTTGGGGCGGAAGAACACGTGCAGCGAGGTGGTGCCGTACTTGTGCATCCACTGCTGCGTGCAGGCGGGGCCGTTGGGCGTCACGAACTGCGGAGAGTGGAAACAGAGGCTGTTCAGTGTTCAGTAGATCAAGTTCAAGCAGGCATCAGCGCCTGACGTGACGCGGGTAGGCAACCCAATCGGCTCTGGCGCGTTCGGGTTGCGCGCTGGCTGGGCGCGCTGGGCGAGCCGAGCCGCGCGCGGTCGCTGACAGTACTCACGGGCGCCACGAAGGAGGGCGCGTGGAGGAACCACTTCCGGTGGGGGAATGACCGCTGCGGCGGCTCTCCGAAGATGATGACGCCGAAGCCGAGCATCTGCTTGGTCTTGGCCTCGTACAGCATGTAGTAGGGCCGACGGTCGGTGCACGAGGACTCCTTCGTCAGGTTGTAGAAGTAGTGGCGCCCTGCAGCAGACCCGGAGTTTTGTAACCCGCTCCTGCTTCAGTTTCCAGCTGTCACCATGCAGCAGGGCAGCCCGTGGCCCACTCAGCACTCACCCTGGCCGAAGAGGCAGCCCTGGCGGGTGTAGGCGGTGGTGCTGGCCAGTTCGCTCTCTTCGAAGGCGATCTTCTGGGGGGCAGCTCCGGACTGCTCGATCCAGATGCCCTCGGCCGTGTTGGTGTCCTTGGTGAGGGTGCGGCCCTCGCCGCGCTGCAGGGCGCCTGCGCAAAAAGGGCAACGTGTTGGCATTCGAACCCGCGACGCGCGCTGGCTGGTGCCATTTCGGACTGTCCAACGTACTGGGGTCTTCGAAGTAGGCGATGGCGGAGTAGACGTCCTCGCCCAGCACGGTCTGCCTCGTCCAGTCGGGGATGGTGCTGAAGTCCTGGGGGACGCCAGTCTGCTTCAAGGCCTCCACGGAGTGCTGCAAAAGCGCGGGAGAGAGCTCCCGGTACAAACTACCCTAGGCCTACTCCTGCACTGCATTCTGCTTTCGGCACCGCCGGCAATGCACTCACGGACACTTGGATGCCCGCCACGCTGCCGAGCTTGTCGAACAGCAGGCAGACGCGGTAGTCGCCGTCGCGGCACCACACGCTGACGCCCTTGCCGGCGAGCACGCCCGCCACCGGCGCCCACTTGTCCTTGACGGCGTCCTCGGTGGTGCGCGGCAGGTCGAAGAAGCTGTTGAGGTGCAGCGGGTCGGGCAGCAGGCCGTACTTTGCTGCAAATGTGTATCAGCACGCGGTTACGCGGTCAGCCAGCACCCTGTCGGCCTGTCGGCCACGGACACCACGCCCTGGGCCTTCCCCGACACTTACCCGTCAGCCTGTTCAGCCTGGCGCCTGTAACGAAATCGTGCCGCGGTCAGTTGGTCAGTGATAAAGCATCACCCGACGCCTGGACGGCCGGGACGGCCGCGGCCGCACCGAACCACCCAGAGAGGGGCACGTACCCTGCACGACGGCGCCCGCGCCGAGGACGGCGAGGAGGAGTACCGTTGTCAACGCCATGGCCCGCGCAGAGTCCAATTGCTTCCTTCGCATTGAGGTCCTCCCATTTTATGCTAGGCCGAGTGCTAGGCACAGCGTGGCAGGGCGTGGCGGGGTGTGGGGCAGCAACACCTTTCTCATGAAGCTCGTGTCTCAGAAACGAAACACTTCATTACCGCCGCTCAGATGAGCAGACATACAAGTTGGCGCTCTGCAGGTCCGCGAGAAGCGATCCAAGTAACTGCCAATCTGGCTGAATGTAGTTAGAGTGTTTTTTGCTTCCACCGCGGGCTGTTTATGCGCGCCGTGTCTCGTATGCCGTCCAAGCACCTGTCCAAGCGATGACTCGACTGCGCTGTTGACAGCACCTCTAGCAAAGCCAACATTGATCGTCGTGGATGACAGACAATTCTTACAAATTGTTTTTCAAGATGTGATTGATTCTGGACCCTGTCAGTAAAATTTTAGAACTTGAAATGTTTTCACATTGATATCAGTGTAAGCTAAAAGTCATTTATTTCTATTTGATGACTGGGCATCTGTCGTTTTTGCGGTGTAGGTGGTTTAGGTAGAGAAAATTTGAACTCCTTTCATATTTTCACATAAGTAACCTATATTTATTTGTCTTGACAGGAATCATTTAACACACATTCTGACTAAGCATCTTCTTTTCCTTTTCAGGATACAGTTGTCCAAACCAGAAACACACATGGGGTGCAACTTTTCAAACAGGAGCAAGAACCAAAATACAGGCAAGAGCTTGTTTATCTTTCATATATATTCGGTAGACATAAAACCATTGCAGGGTGGCTCAATTTTAAGGATTGTGAAAGTAGTATTAGTTTAGTGCACCCTGATTAAAGTATGAACCAGCAAGTTTGGAAAGGATGAAATCCAGAAAACTGATTATTACGAGATAAGTAACAGACTTGCATCTTGATGAAGGTAGAAAAACACCACCCTGCAACTGCATGTATAACACGTTCAGACACAGAGAAGAGATGAGGAAGAGAAGACTAATATCAACTGGGATACCCGTCAGGCAGTAAATAAAAATCAATTTATAAGGTGGTACAATGGAAAACAAAACAAAGAAAAAAAAGGAACAAAAACAGTACCAGAGACCAGCTCTGAGAATCGCCACAGACATAAATCCATACTGAGAAAACAGCCCAAATGCATCTTTGGTCCATCAAATGAAGAGTACTACACGATTGCTTATTGATGTCAAGAGACTGCATTCTTCATGGAATCATTGATTATAATCTAACAAGGCTGTTAAAAAGCAGCTGGCTAGGAAATGAGAAAATTTACAATAGTACAGTACGTACACAACACAAAAATTAATCGACAAGGCAACTTTCAGACAGTATTAAAAATATATATATTATGAACAATTTCTGGTTATGTTTATGCAAGAACTATCAACCACCCACATAATGGAAGAAACATGTTTGAATAGGATGGAAGATACTGGAAAAAGAAGCTATGAAGAATTTCTTGAGAGCACCTTTATCTTAAAACACAGAAATTATGGGCTTCTGGTACAGAGGAATATGGAAACTGTTATAATGTTGACAAATTCCAGCCAACTTAAAAAATAGGCTACATTTTGCTTTGTACTCAATGGGTATGCTTGGCACCTCAACAAAGATGAAGCAAAACTCTTCAACTACCACTGGGTTTTTAATAAATAAGCACTATACAACACACTTTACCAGAAACAGGCTCAAAGCATCAGGAAGAACACTGAAGGAATAGCATAAGGAAGATTGCTTGGAAGTCCAGCAACTCAAAAATACGTAACATGTGGCATTTGTGCAGCAGAATGACAGTGCGGATCTTAAATCAGTCCCACCATATTATTTGATTATTGCCCAAAAAAACTAAAGAACACAAAACTGAAATGCAACATTGCAGCCCTGCAATAAATAATCAGAAAATAAAGATCAACCTCAGGTCCTCACCAAAGCACATTAGGAAACAAAATTTCCTCTCGTCAAAGAAAACAAAAAAAGAAAAAAGAATGCATATGTAATTTTCATTTTGACTGCGAGATAAACAAAGTAGATAAAATTAAATTTATCTTAGTGTAACAAGTAAAACTAAATGCAAAGAATGTTTTAGACACACAAACAAACATACAATGAGGTAGGTCTACTCATGCAGTTGTACCCATGTATGTACGTCCATCTACTACACATTATGTATTTCAATCAATGTGGTCTTCGGCTTCTTAACTAGTTATTATTTCTTTTTCACACTAGAGCGACAATATAAGTTTCTGAGGCCTGATATTTCACAATTTTGGTTACTATATACAATATTACATACCTATTAGCAATCTTCAAGTCAACAAATATCATGTTTCAAGCAGAAACAAATACACCAATGGGCCAGCCATAGGTTGAATGACAACACACAATGATCAACTTTCACGATGTCAGTACCAGGCACAAGCTTTCAAACAATGACAGAGACGATGAAAAACAGAAGCCAGCATGATGCTGCATGAAATGTGATGTACAACTTCTTTTTGAGTACTACAGATAATTTAACACCCACAAATAGGGGTTATCTGATTTAATAGGATATGACTGAGACAATAGAAATTTTATGCATGCCCCTTCTATACTTGACAATATACGAAAAAAGTCCTCCATTAAATTTAAATAATTTTTTACCCTGTGCTCAATTTTTTTTCTATCCTAAACTCTAAATTTCTTGACACTAAAATACTTTGTCAAAACGAAACATTCACTCAAAATGGAAAAGAAAAGAATATGATGGTAATGCTCACAGTACCATCGCACGAGAATGAAGCTCTTGAGCTTAACATGGCAGTGTCTTGTTGAAAGCAAGAACTTCTCTAAAACAGTAGGTGAGTTGAGCACAACAGTACTTGACGCAGTTCCTGAGTAGGAAGCACACTCTTGAAAGTGTGCAGCTTGATAACCACTACCTACTGAGCTGTCTCTGTCATTGGTTGCATCTACAGTATTTTAGTAACAGTGCTGATATTAACAATTATTGATAAAACTATAAAGAAAACTGTCGCAAAACGTTCATTTAAGTACTATACTTTTACAAAAGGCAAAATTAAAGGACAGATTCCTTCTATAAAAAAATGAAAGGCAGATTATATTACCTTATCAATATAAGTTTCCTAAAGCACTGTTTGGAAAAAAACAACAACAAAAACAAAACAATATCAGTGGCTTTTGACTTGTTGACAAGAGAACTGGGACCGCCAGCACATTTTCCAGTTTTCTAAGACAATGCTGCATGAAATAACAATACTGGGATGTAGAGAAACTTGAATTTGTGATTCACATCATAGAACTTGAAACTTCAAAATCAATTAATCAATTTCTTTTTCAATGATTGCTCTATCCCTGCTAGAGTACAATGAGTTCCATTCAAAACAGAGTTTCTCAAAAGTGTACTTTACCACACACTCATATATGCTCAAACATACACACACACACATACACACACACAAGGAAAATAATAATAGAAATACTGACTTATGTACAGCAAATGAAGCTTCAGACTATTGCTTGCGAGTTAAAACTACAAGAATACACAAACATAGACTTCAAAGTAACAATTTATGGTATAGAATAGATAAATAATATTTATGAGCCAATACTAAAATCACAATTACAATGATGGCACCTTGAAACCATCAAAGTCTTGCCAAGAGTGGTCTTTACTAAAATGAGTTCTACACAATGATTTTCAGATCAAGTCTTAATCCACAAATAATGAATGTGTCACTACCTAACATCTATGATTTATAATTCAGTCCATTAGAATGATCTGCCCTCATTGTCACTTAAATGTTGACAATTGACAAAGGCTAATATATAAATCATTAAGAAATGGAGTGAGTCAGTCATATCACATATAAAACAACTGCTTTAAGTCAACCAAACTGCATAGCAGAAGGACAGACCAAAAAGCAATCCTTTGCCAGCTCAACTCAAGGTTTATGCCTTAAAAACAATTTCTTTGATACAAAGCTGCTTAAGATGCGAACTGTGCGGAAACTGCCTTTTTAGATAATAAGGGAGTATCCGCTAGCATCGTTGTGTTATCTGTCTTCCTCCATGACAACTTGTTTAAATACACCGGCTGACATTTGGCTTTTCACTTCCTGACTGCCAAGTGCTGTAGTTCCATCTTTGGCAATAAACAACTGCAATCCAGAAGCTGTAAAAAAGGATATTGGTGTAAGAGCTTGTTTCATAATTTGAGAAAGCTGAAACAAAATATACTCACTCTCTGCAGAATCATCATGATGTTCCAAATTAGTTGATTTAATAAGCTCGTCTATTAAACTGTCAGGGTTTACTCTTGTAACTTCCACTCGCCCTCCAACAGAATTTCCACCCCCACTCTCTTCGGCAGCCTTCTTTCTTCTCTCCATTGCTGCTTTGGCTCTGTCTAAGGACCCGGTTTCACTTAAGCCTGATCCTCCACTTGGGTTCCTGGAATTCCAGAAAGAAAAAGGTGAGAATACAACAGGCACAAAAGTGTCAAGTACTAAATTTAAAATAAAAATTGTACAGAAAGTCACATTTAATTCTTGAATTATAACTTTTGAAAGTGGGAATGCATCAGGCACACCTAACTACACTTATGTGTGACAAACAGGAAGCCATTTTAAAGCATTATGAGGAGGCATTCAAAATAATTGAAACAAGGAAATAAACTCATGGGAGATTAAAATAATGGTAATGTGCTAAATGCTGCTTGTCAAACTATTACATGTGCACATTATTTTGTTCCTTTGATGATATCTATGCCACAGAAATATTTAAGAAATAACACTTCAATAACATACTGTTTCTCATCATGGAGATGACTCTTAGGTACATGGAACTTGAAAACATATAATAATCTCTATAGAAAGATACTTGGGTAGAGGGGTTGTATAACTATAACATATGTCCCTTACATTAAAACCATCTGGTAAACAGAATCTTGGGTAAACAGTATTTATGATCAAAAGTATGATAAATCACAGAAGAAAACAAATAAAGCTGACCATGTACACAGCTTTGAAAAATTACCATTTATTACAGAACAGATTGAAAATGTCTGTGTGGGCGCTCTAAATCCTATCTACCACAGGAAAAATCTAATCTAAACTGACTTTTTAATAAGAAATACAGAAACAAGGAGTGCTGGAGTAAATTTTTCATAGGTCACAACAAAAAGAAAAAAAAAAGGTTGAGTGAAACAAAATAAAATTACAAAAACAATAAGGCTATTTGCTCCTTAAACACAAATATGAAACATGCTCTGAATCGAAAACATGCAAAAGTCTTCAGAAAATCTTATCATTCAGATGAGATAAAGTTAAGCATGAATGCTTGCCACTACTTTGTGCTGAAAAAGAAAATAAATAAAAATGTGCGGGCATTGAAGAACATTTTATAAGATCATACACAGTGCTGCTTCTTCGGTGCAGTAATGACTGCAAAGTTAATCCTTCACATCCTTCAGGGAAGTCATCAGGAGTGACAGCTACAGCAGCTAGCTTGCGGTAAGGTCCAACTGCACCCCTGTTAAACGGATTGCAAAGAATTCGATGATGACCATTTGGCAGCATGGTGAAGAATGGTGAAATGTGGTAGTAAATTCACAGAGGATTTTCAGCAGTACCTTCCAATAAAATATAGTAACTATAAATATCTAATTTTGAAAAAAATAAATAAAAAAATAGCACTTTAAAACTAAACAATATCTTATGAAGTACTGTAGTTAAATAAAACATGCAATACTCTAGTGCACTTCTTCTACATACACTCGGTGGCACAGATATCATCTTTAAAACTACTAAGACGAAGTCCTACTTTTTACAAAGTTACTTTGATGCCAACACACTAAACTGAAACCATTTATGTGCATAACTACATAAATTCACAAAAAAAAACAACTGTCAAATAAAATAAATAAAAAAATAATACAGCTGCACAGTAACAATAACACTAAAAAGCATACACACAATTGAAAAGGAAGCAAACAAATTTAGAGGACACAAGGCAAACCTTCAGAGGCTTTAATTTTTTTAATGCATAGAGCTAAGAAGGCCAAAAATCCAAAAGTCAGAAGCGTTTCCTCTCTTTTTATGGTGTCAATTTGTTCCTGTCATTTTTCAAATATAATAATGAAAATTTGAAACTTTCTGGTAGGGATTAACGTAAGAATGTTGGTGAACCAATCCAACCCTCATGACCTAGGCCTAGGGGCCGCCGTTTGAAAGTGGGCGCGTTAGAAAGTGCGACGCGCTGCGACCTACCTGTAAACCCCGTTGGCCTCAACACATCCGGCTGGGAAGGCAGAGGGTGGGGCCGGTCCGCAGGGGCTGTGCAGGTTGAGCATGCCTGGGGACGAGGCGGCGCGGGGCGCGCTTTTGGGGCTTGGCCACTGGGGGAAGCGGGCCGGGGCCGGAGGTTTGAGTGCAGGGGCTGGGGTGCCGGGTATGGGGAACAGGGGCAAGGGCTGAGTGTTCCTGCAATCAGGGACCGAACTCGCATCACCGTTCGGGTCAGAGACTCGGTGCTTGGCTTGGCCTGCTCGCCGGTTCAAAGGGCTGTGCAGCAACCAGAGAAAATTTCGGTGAATGGCTGTGGGGGACTTGGGGGAAGGGGGGGTCGGACTAGAGGGAGATGGCGAGGGCGACAACCGAGGCACGGGCACCCTCATTGGCCAGGACGGGGACCTACAAAACATACATGCCACATCATCAAATAACACGCAGTACGCTGTGTGAAGCTACAAAGACATTTCGGGGCAAGTTACGACCTTTCCCTGAGCAATCTACATTCCAAAGGGAGCTTTATTCTTTGGCAACTTCAGATAAGATTCACTGTACTAACATCATTATTTAATTTAAGGAGGCAAGAAAAAAAGAGAAACTCAAGCAGTTGTTATCTTGCACAAGATACAAAGAACACAAACAAAAACAAATCAGACACAGAGACATGCTCTATCAGAAACACATTCCCTAAGAGTTGATTTGCGATGCTACATGTTGCTCATTATTTTTTTTTTGCACTGACATGCACCTAACTACAAATAAATGGGTATGAGAAATTTGATAAACAGAACTCCCCAAAAAATAACTGAAAGTTTAGAAACTAACAATTTTAGAGCAGCTTTAAGCAGCCTTGATTAGATAAGCCACATGTGGATGTCATTTTACGGTTAAAACAGCGAAAGAGAGGCTTTACTGTTAGATTGTACAATTTGAATGCTGGCCAAGTAGAATATCCATGAAAACAGTCTCACGAAAAAAAAACAATGGGTTAGGAGTAAACATCATCTTGCATTCCATTTTGGGAGCCAGAATAGTGATTAAATTTTATTGAGCCTACATAGTAAATCCAAATATCAAACAAACAAACAAAACAAAACAAAACAAAAAAAAAGCACAAAGGGAAACAGCAGGAAAAACTTTACAAGGGAGAGAGGCACAGGCGTGACAGACACTCATATACAGTACACGCCTCCAAACTCTCCACAGTACCTGCTATTCTGAAGGATCTCAAATGACGCTGATTTCATAAGGATTGCACACCACAGATTACCAGGGCACGTTCGCACCCTTCGCCTGCAGGCGACAATTTCATTAGTGTTTCTCCCTTTGTGCATGCTCCACCAATAAGAATTTAAAATGAATCATAATTGTAAGAAAATATTCAGTACTTTTGGGACAAGTTTTATGTTTACTTAAAGCATCAAGAAAATTTGGGAATGACATAACCCATGACATGAAGAAAAAAAGCGCATGCAACTGAAATTTCGCCAGAAAAAGAAAGACGAATTACACTTAAATTTTGGAATGAGTCAGTGAGTGAAACATGGTGATGAGTTCATAGATATAAATTGGTGAAATATTAACAAAAAAATTGCTAAGATCAAATTATTAATTCTGCATCGCTATGAACTATGATCTACTCGTCAACCCACACCGCATGAAAGAATGCAGATTACCTCACCAATTATTGTGCGATAAAGTAGTGTGACACGTGCAAATTAATGCCATTCACCTCATAAAAAAAATATTTACTAACATACCGTATCAATAACTAGAACTCAGTGGTGTGAGTGTGTATATTTTAAATTAAGAACATAGAAGCAAACAAATGACGGTAAAAGTGCGGAATGCATGAAAATAAAATACCTTATGTGGCCAGAGTCCCCGGAGCTGCTCTGCCGCGAGTGCTGGCTCTGGCTGTTGAGAGAGCTGTACCCCGAGGCCTTGCTCATCTGGCTCGTGTTGGAGGAGTTCCTCGAGTGGCCCGGCTCGTTCTCATACCCATCCTCCATCTCGCCCTGCATAGGCTCCGCCAGGGTGTACTCGGCCGGCTCGCTGTTCGAGCCCTGAATGAGTTCTGGACAGACAGGCGGACGTGAGGCAGACATGAGGCGACGCGACAAAGCCGCCAAAGCCGCCCAGGCATGGGCAGGGCATGCCGCACGGACCCCGGGGGGAAGGGCCAGGAGACGGGGGTGTTTTCAAAGGAATTCCCTTGACAGAGCTAAAATTTGACCTGTATATTGTAAACCAGGAAACTGATGGTCTAAAAGGAAAGCTGAACACATGCAAGCTCATTCCTCTCCCCTTCCCCCTGGAGTCCGTGCTGGCGGGCCGCGAGGCGCAAACCCAAAAGAAAGCTACCAGAGTTGAGCAGGGCAGGCCGCTTCTTGGGGAGGCTTCCAAAGCCAGAGCTGCCGCTGGCTATAGACCCCGCGAGCGAGCCGCTCGAGAAGTCCTCTCTGTACTGGGTACCGTACTGGTTGCCATACTGGTTGCCGTACTGGCCGCGCTCCGAGCGCTCCGTGCCGTCCTCCTGCGTGGCGAATTGCTTTTGCTTCAGTGAGGGGGATGGACTGCGGGACAGAGAGACACACATGGGTCAGCACCACACACGCACCGCACGCACCGCACACACACGGAAAGCAGCACCGAGCCCAGACGGCCAACTCACACTTTGAAGAGGATGTCCCCGGACAGCATGTTCATGCCGATGTGCACCTTGATCATCGAGTTGTCGGGCCGGTGGCGCGGGTTGTTGTCGTAGCCCTCCAGCAGGCACGTCCGCGACGTCAGCCCCGCGCCCGCGAACTCGGCCAGGTTCAGGTCGATGAAGCCGAGCTTCTGGAACGTCCGGCCGCCCTTCTGCTCCTGGAGCACCACACACACACACAGTCAGTACACGGCGGAAAGCGATTGCATCACAACAACAACAACACCGATCTTACCCGTCGGATGGACACCCGCAGCAGGCAGGGGTCCAGCACGCCCGTCGACGCGCTGGCGCTCATCTTGCACAAGAACTCGAACTTGGCGTTCCACCGCACCTTGTGCTCCTGCACCTCCTCCCTGCAACAACAAGGCCAGCGAGTCAGGAAACAAGTCGAGTCGGGGCGGACAACAGCCGAATGGGAGGACCGCAAGGGCGATGCGGATATTGATAAATCCGGCGGGACGGCGGAGGCGGCCTTCGACTTGGCGAGGGAAAGGACCTCGGGGAGGGCCGAAAGGACGGATAGCATCTACACGGGCGGCCGGGCCGGGCAGTGACATTAGTGTGTCATGTTTTCCTTCCACCCCGCCCGACGCGGAAGTCCCATTCGGCCCGACACGGCCGCCGGGCCACGCGAACACTTGACGCAGACACGCCGTGGTCGATACAAAGCGCCGGCCTCAATTACAAAACCAAAGGGTGCGATTGGGGCGTGCGGTGCGTGGCGAGCCTGGCTAGGCGGGGCGCGAGGCGAGGCCGCCCCGCCGCCACCTCCCCGCCGAGGAGCAGCCCGAGCAGCCCCCCGGACTCCAGCGAGAACCGGCTGCGTCCGGACAGCGCCGGCCGCGCTCCACGCGCAGAGGCGAGGACGCGAGGACGTGCCGATTGAACTCGCCGCGCTGCGTCGCTGCGTCGCTGCGTCCCGGGTCCCGGCCAGCATTGGCGTGACGAGCGCCCTTGTGCAGGGCGAGCAGGGCGCGGGGTGCACGGCGGCGGCGGTAATAGCACGGGGTGTCTAGGCGAGGGGGGCCGAGAACCGCGGCAAACTCCGGGCCGACACGGCACGGGGGGACTTTGTAGGACACCGCACCCCGAGCCTCACCACCTCGCCCCCGCAAAAGCGCGCCCTCCTCGAGCGTCGCCCGGGCGTCGCCGGGGCGTCGCCACGCCCACACATCCATCACCCGTTCGGCCGTTCGGCCGGCCGCCCACGCCACACGGCGCCGCCTCACCCTGCATGGCCCTGCACGGGCGGGGTGGGGCGGGGCGGGCACGCGACGCGCCTATTTAAAGCCCCGCTCCAGCGACCGGAGGAAGATCGCGGACGCGACGCTATTCCGGGCCGCGGTGGCGTTGCGGGGGCTGGCGGGGCCCACACCTGATTGCTCGGGGCTGCGACCCCACCCCACCCGTCGCTAAACCAATTTGGCAGCGGGAAAAACACGCCGCCGTCATGCGGGCGCGTCGATAAAGCCAGAGCGGCAGAGCCGACGGAGCCATGGCTGCAGCCCGGACAGCGCCCCCGCGGCCCCCGCCCCGACACTCGGCACTCCGGGGCGACGCCGCGGAGTCGTTGCGCAACCACGGCAGCCCCCAAAAAGAAGCAGCCCCCGTCCCGTCGGCGTCCGGTCGCCATCCGGTCCCCGTCCGGGCACTGCGAGCGCACTGCCCTTTCGCTTGAGCGCGCCAAAAGCCCAAAAGCCACTGGGGAGTCCAGCGCCTCGGCCGACAGGCAGGCAGGCCGCTGCAATGGGAGGGCGCCGTGCCGCAGGCAACCCGCTCGCCGCGCCTGTCCCCACGCTGCCTACACCGCAGGCGGGGCACCGAAGGCTTGGCCGCAGGCTGCCACAGCCAGCGCATCTCCAACGCGCGCCGCTGCCGCTCGGCAAATATATTTTCCTCTCCGCGACGCGCTGCTAGACGGGACGGCTGCTACAAACACAACCCCCTCCTCCCCCCAACCCTTCCGAAACCCGTTCGTACCGCTTCCCAAGGTCGGCCTCGGCAATCCCATAGGGCGGCAAAGGCAGGGACGACCCCCCCCCCTTTCTCTCCCCTCACGCACCTCTCACCGCTCGGGGGTGGTGCTGGTGCCCTCGGCTTTCGGCCACTCCCCTCGCACAACATGCTCCAACACGTCAACCCGCGACGCCGCGACGCTAACCACACGGCCTGGTTCGCACGGCGTGGTGCAAGCCGCGGTTGACGGCGAGGTGCGCATCGCGGCCGTCGACGCCGCGAGGTGGTGCGGGCGGCGTGCTTAGGGGAAGGCCGAGACGTGCACGCGGCCTTCGCCGCTTGCGGAGAGCGCGTCTGCTAGTGCTCAAGCCGAGCCCAAGCTGCGCGCCAATCCGTGCCTGCCCGTGCTTCTAGGAAGCGCCGGATGCATCCCCGCCCAGGGAGTGCTCTCGCCGCTCTCGCTGCCCGAACCAGGACGCCAGGCGACGCCAGGGCCCTTCAGGGTACGCGTGTCCTGGGCCCTGGCCGCCCCGGCCCGGGCCACCCCCAACGCGGCACTGCTTCTCCAGACGGCTGGGGGCGGCGGGGGCGGCGCGCGGGGGTGGTCGATACAGCTGGCCCCGCGGCCCCAACCCTCGGCCGGCCAGCGGGCCAGCATCAATGGGCATGCGGGGCGTGAATGGGTGTGCAGCAGCCCCAGGGTGACGCATAGGGCGGATAGGACAGAAAGGACACCCCCTCCTCCCCCTCCTCGTACCGTCACTGGGAAGCCGCGGCGCGGACACTCGCCGGGAATCCCGCGAGTCCCTAGTCCCTCTACACTGCTCCTACACTGCCCCCATGACCCTGAACTTCCCCCGTCCGAAGGGCAAGGCTGCGTGCCTGCCGACCACCACCACACCAGGTCCCGAGGGTGGCGGAGTGGCGGTATGGCGGCCCGACCACACCACGGCCTGGCCCCGGCCTCCCCGAGGTGTTCTGCCCTGATCCTGGCCAACCTGGGCGGGACTACGGCAATGCACCGCCAACCAACCACCCAGCTAGCCAGCGCCCCTCGAGAGCCACAGCCCGGCACAGCCCGCCGCCCCCACACGGCCAGCCCGGCCACGCCTGACCTCGTTGCACCGCTACCGCCGCGGGACGAGGGGCCCCGAGCCCCTAGGGGGCCTGGCCGGATTGCCTTCCGGTCAAGGCGAGCGGATGCCGGGACTCCGGAACCCAGCTTGGGCGGGGCGGGGCGCGGCGGCGTGTCCACGTCCACGTACTGGCTGGCACCCCGCCGCGCTACGCGATGCCAAGACGAGCGCCGAGCGCGTGAGTGTAGGGAAACACGTGTCGGTGGTCGTTGAATAGCGGCGCGGTGAGGCGGCGGCAGGCGGGAACCCCTTCGCCCGAGCCTTCGCCGAAGCGAAGCGAAGCGCGCTCCCAATGAGCCTCGGGCGCCTCGCGCCTCGCGCCAGAGCGTAGCCATGTTTCAGCGCCGCTTTCCGCGGAAAAAAAAACTCGGAGAACGTGCTTGCGGCTGCCCGGCGGGGCGCGCGCGGCGGAGGACGCGTTAGCGGGAAATTTGTACAGCGAGTCGCGAAATACGAGTCGAGCCTCGCGGCCCGCGGCGAGGGGCGGAGGGGAAGGGGCGGAGGGAAAAGCAAAATGGAAAAGCAGCAAAAGCGCGCGTTCGCGTCGTCGACGTCGTGTTTGAGCACGCGCCGAAGTCATCATCCGGTCGGCCGGGGGTGCCGCGCCGTCCGTTGCGAGGCCCAACGTCCCAACCCCGAGACCAGCCCAGCACAGCCCAGCCCACACTGCTTGGGGCAGCGCGATAAGGCCAGACAGTACCGCCGAAATAAATTCGTTATCTCCCGCACACAACTTGCAGACTGCCGGCAGGCCAATTCCGAACGGCGCCGCCGTCTCCCTCGCACCCCCACGGGGCAGCCCCACGGGGCCGTGCAGGGCACACCATTTTTCAGACATTTGTGACCGTTTTGATCAACTTTGCGGCAATACTGCTCCCAAACTAAGGCAGATAATCGCTTTCCGTAACAAAGGCATGCAAAAGAAAGGTCCAAAGACCAATTGCCCGTTGAAGGAGGACGAAATACCGCCTCGGATCAGACGCAGTAGATGCTTAAAGTCGGCCCAAAACACGATTTTTCACAGACATTTGTGACCGTTTTGATCAACTTTGCGGCAATACTGCTCCCAAACTAAGGCAGATAATCGCTTTCCGTAACAAAGGCATGCAAAAGAAAGGTCCAAAGACCAATTGCCCGTTGAAGGAGGACGAAATACCGCGTCGGATCAGACGCAGTGGATGCTTAAAGTCGGCCCAAAACACGATTTTTCACAGACATTTGTGACCGTTTTGATCAACTTTGCGGCATTTAAGCAGTCACTGACTACACCAGCAAAGTCCGCGCGGCTGAAAACGTTTCTCGTCCTTTTTTCAGTGCCGTGCTGAGCGATTCGGGCCGAAGCCGAAGACAAGACGCCACCTTCCTCCTCTCTTCTCTGCCACTCCGCGGCTCTGCGCTCCGCGGCGTGCCCCGAGCACTTTAAGTGCGCCGACAAGCTATAAAAGCAGTCCGCGCCGCGCCGCCGCGACGGGCCGCGCCGCAAACAGCGCCATAAGGCAGTACACCGCCATCGCCATGCCCGGCCCGCGGGCCCAACGCCTGTTGCAATGGCCGCGCGGCCAAAAAATAACGCTCGCATTCGCCTGCACCCGGCAGTACCGTGCACATAATTGCACAGTGCACTCTGCTCGCTGCCACTGCACTGCCGGGCCAGACGAGTCTGACAGACGCGGGCCGCCGCCGGCATCGTTATTAGTTGCAGCTGGGGTCGCGGTTCCGACGAAACGGATGACACAGACCGACCGCCGGGGGCCGCCGGGTACCGCCGGCCTCTGGCGCAGTGTGGGTGACGTTCAAGCGCCGGGCCGGGGCCGTGCCTGCCGGGGCCGAAACGTTTCCACGAGAACGTTATACACGTGAGGCGGGGCGCCGCGGTGCACGCTACCGCCCAGCCGCCCCGTGGCCTTGAACCCTGCCTGACGCTGCTCCAGCACCACGACGACGGCACCCTGTCCGTGTCCGCCCCGTTGGCCCCGCGCTCCTGGGCGTGGCCGGGCGTGGCTGGCTGGGCGTGGCCGGGCTGAGCCGGGCGGGGTCCGGACGGGTCCGGAGCTCAGCTCATCCATATGAAAGGGGGTGCGGAACGGCCCCGCAGAGGCATGCCTGGGCGGGCGTGCCGGAGGCTGCGAGACCAGACCCGGACGTACACAAGTTGACACTTCGGCCGTGTCGCTTGCGCTGCGTCGCTGCGAGCCTCGCAGGCCGGCGCGGGGTGCGGTGAGGAGTTCAGGACTGCCAAATGTCAGCGCCACTGTCAACGC